ATGAGTATGTCATGATCGATCAAGAAGTTGGTAATCTTAATCAGAGGCCTGTGACGACAGCCGCATGTGATAAACGGGCATCTTCCCACGAACAGAATGCAGCCTTTTCGCTATCTCTTCTCTACAAATTTTCCTCTTTTTTGCCACTCCTCTTAGTCATGCTTCGTCTGCCTGCTGCCATTAGACCTTTTACGCGCACTGTGCCAAGGGCACAAGTTGCCAACAACCTACTGCGCACCTCTTTTAGTGTCCGCTTCAGTACGTACAATACACAAAACAATCAGCCACATGGTTGTCTTTGTTAACCAATATGTCAACCTCACCTCCCTCTAACTCTTTTTCGTTTCCGAGCCACTTCTTTATACTCCTTGACCAAATACTCTGCTAACCCCCTTTTTTAAAATGACACTTTGTGGTGTAGCTTCGACGGATGCGCCGACTTACAACATGATCAAGACGGAAGTCCAGGGACGTGTAGCCGTTATTACTCTTGATCGTCCCAAGGCACTCAATGCCCTGTGCAGTGAGCTCTTTTACGAGATCAACGACGCGCTCTCTCGCTTTGACAATGACTCTGGCATTGGCGCCGTCGTACTCACTGGCAGCGAGCGCGCATTTGCCGCTGGAGCTGATATCAAGGAGATGAAGGACACCGAGTTTGTCAACAACTACAAGGGCAACTTTTTGGGGCACTGGGTCGAGCAAATTAGCAAGATGCGCAAGCCCATTATTGCCGCCGTCAACGGATACGCACTGGGCGGCGGCTGCGAGCTCGCCATGATGTGCGACATTATCTATGCCGGCGAAAAGGCCGTGTTTGGACAGCCAGAGATTAACCTTGGCACTATTCCGGGCGCTGGTGGAACGCAGAGACTGACTCACGCTGTGGGCAAGTCTAAGGCTATGGAGATGATCCTCACTGGCAGTGTCAACCTCGATGCTCAGGAGGCTATGTCCTATGGCTTGGTTAGTAGGGTCTTTCCTCCAGAGAAACTCTTGGAGGAGACTATCAAGACTGCAGCCAAAATCGCTGCAAAGGGCGCGGTCTCCGTGCAAATGGCCAAGGAGGCTGTCAACCAGGCCTATGAGCTTAGTTTGAGCTCTGGCCTGCATTTCGAACGCCGCTTGTTCCAGGCTACATTTGCTACCAAGGACCAGAAGGAGGGAATGGCCGCCTTTGCTGAGAAGCGCAAGCCAGACTTTGTTCATGAGTAGACTTTAATTTTTTAATTGATATATCACATGTAGCAAAGCAATCATTGCTTTATCTCTGATGTCAGCATTGTTATATCACTGTGAGAGAGAACCAATAGAAGGAATTTCTTTGTTTCCAAACTTTATTTTAAATATCAAAAAGACATAGTGCTGCTTTTTTAGCACTAGAGACAAGTAATAAGTGTGCTAAAGTTATCTCTTCAACCATTTCAAGAAATAAAATAATTGCAAAAAAGAAATTGCAAAAATTAATGATCAGAGTGGGATTCGAACCCACGCCTCCGAAGAGAACAGGGCCTAAACCTGTCGCCTTAGACCAACTCGGCCATCTGACCTCATTTTCGAGCTAACTCTCAAACTTTCACGTGTTGACAGATTGATTATTTTGGGTACGTATATAAACAACTACCTTTCTTTGTGTGAAATGGTTAGATGGGTGTCCTTTTGACAAGTCGATCTGCGTATGGTCGCCATAGGTTTTGGTTCCTAAAGTAGCAAATTGCCAAATGCAAATGCCCTTACATGGGCATGCAGTTTGGGAGATGCTTTACACTTTGAGGAATTATCTAGACATGCAACAATATCACCACTTATAGCATATCGGCTGGTGAGTGCATATTTCTAATTGTTCTGATGCTGGTTTGTATTATTATTGCCAGAAATGATAGTTAGTGTTTAGAAAAAGTTCCCCCAGCGGCCAAACCGCCGTTTTTCGGTAGACTGACGTGGAGCAACGTCCATAGATAGCGAGCGCATCTGTTCAAATGTCGCCACATGATCTCCGACTTTAGGAACCGAGACCGACGATAGCGTGTTGCTACGTGAAATAGGGTTGCCAGCGACATCGGCTTGGTTGCGACCAAAGAAACGGCGAGCATTGGTACTTTTCGCTGCGCTATTTTCGACAGCCATGGCGTTGCTGTCAGAGTCGTAGTTGTTGCTAGCAGTTACCTGGCGAGAGAGGTAGTCGTCGGTCGAGCGGCGAGGCAAGCTAGACATGGGCTCGGACCTTGAGCGTGCAAAGGCCGATAGAGGGACGTCATCGCCATCGCTGTTGTCGTCCTCAATGGGCTTGGCCTTGATTGAGGCATCAAAGGTAGCTATCGAGGAGTTCCGCAAAGTATACTTGACATCGGCACTGCCGCTTTCCTTGGCTGTAGCAGTGGACTGGCGCTGCGGCTGGGTCGTGTATGTCGCTGTCGTTGGTTTGTGCTCAGACACAGACCTAATGTTAAGCTGGGGGTTGCTGGCCGCTGGCCGTTGCTTGGGGCGAGCAAACGAGGGCGGCTGCAAGATCTTGACACTTGAGGTCCGAGTGAACGAGGTGGTAGTTGCAGTACCGCTCCGTGGAATGCTTCTCCCGATTGGTAGCTCAGGGTTGGGGACATTGTAGTGGCCCAAGAGCGCACGCCGAGCCTCTGCCATATGGTCCACAGGCGGCTTTTGGCTGTCAGGCGCTGCTTCAGTAACCGGCGGAGCAGGAGCTGGTGCTGTTACTGGAGGCGACTGAGGGTCACTGGGAGCAGGAGCAGCAGCCTGAACTTGCTTGGGTGGCGGCGTCGGGCGTGGACGCTGGATGGGCGGTTGCGAGGCATGTCTGCCGCCCTGGGCTTTCTTCCGTAGCTCACGCTCAGCCTCACGATCGCGCAAGGGCTGAGTCTCGATGCGATGCTTTGGACGCTGGCTTTGCCGCTTGGTGCCGTCAGGGGAGATGTTGCGGCTTGAATAGCCGCTAGTATCTTTGCTATTGGCCACAGTCGTCGACTCTTCGTCGTACCACTGCGCAGTAGAGTCGCTTTGGGTCGGGATAAATGTCGGAGGAATCTGGTACCTCGAGTGGCTGTAAGCATTGCTGCCGTCAAAGGCCTCGTCAGAAGATCCGCCAGCCAAGCACAAGCCGCTATTGGCGCCGCTGGTGCTGGTGACGTTCATATCAATCGAGGCGTTGCTGCTGTCGTTGTCCGATTCGAGCGCGTCCGGCTCTTCAAAGTCCTCACCGGCCACAGTATGCCGAGTATTGAACACCACCGACACGGTCTCGTGGAACCGAACTCGACGAGTTGACGAAGATTGGCTCTTGGCTGAAGTGTCGCTGGATGTGTCACTGCCGCCAACTGTCATGATCGGCTGCGAGACGCTGCGTGGAGCCCGAATACCACCACCGTTAATGCCCAGTGGTACAGTATCAGGCTCGCGCTGCTCAAGCGGCGGATCGCAAGAAATGTCCGAGCTACCAATGCTAGTCATATCGTCACTGTCGACCTCGTCAGAAGCGCTGCTGCTGCCGCCATCGTCGTCGCTGCTGTCACTCAAGTACGGATTCTTGGCCTTTTGCGGCATGCTTGCCAGCTTAACCGGGTGAGCCGACGGCACGGGCGGCTGCAGTTGCAAGGGCTGTAAGGCCTGTTGCTGCTGCATCTGGTGGCCGTTGACAGGAATGTACCCAGAAAAAGACGCCGAGTGGTGCTGCTGCGCTGTCTGGCCAGTTCTGCCGGCAAAAGTATCTGCTATCAAGGGAAATCCTTGATTCTTGTGCCTGGGCAACGTAGCAAATTGAGCAGAGGCAATGCCGGCATTCTGCGAGTCGGCCATGTACGCGATATTAGACATGGACGCACTGGTTGGGAGATTTGCATACGATGCGCTGACATTATTATTGCCATGAGGAGCCACATGTGGTTGGTGCGGGGGCATTGCCTGAGCGTATCCACGGTTGATCGCTCCGTTGCTTGCGTACATCGCCTGCTGCTGTGGCGGCGCAACCGCGTTGGCCGACTCCTTTTGCCAGCGAGCCACGCTATTATGCGCGCTGACGGGTTGCTGCTGGCCGGGGTACTGGCGACGATGGCGCTCCTTCATGCGCTCAAAGGCTACCTGCTGCTTGATGAGCTCGCGGCG